AAACACATAAAATTACATATCAAAGCGCAAAGGTGTATAACTGCAAAAACGCAGGTAAATAAAAGTTCTGATACTGTCACTAATAGAGTGACTCGATGTGGTATAGGTGCTCAGTTCACAATCTCCTCAATAGGTGGAGTGGAGTGGGGGATCGGTTGGATCCCTGTTGGTATATGGTGATGACCAGAAAACGATATATGGCAATATCCAAAATTGGTATAAGATTGTGCACTCACCAGATGCACAATCAATATGCGCATGTAAGAGATAACCCCTCTTAAGGTATGACTCCAGGACTCATCTGAAGCAAGGTCTGGTCTAATTCTGCGTTGTGGACCCTCAGCTGTCATGCATGGCTCTGTCTCCTATTGCTCTTGACTCTGTAGGCAATTGGAAGCTCACCCAAGAGCCCCAGAGAGAAAAGGAGGCCAGAATAGCGTGATACCGTTTAAACATGCATGTATTTATTCCATCCAGCAAAAAGGGTATAAAAACAATACTTGTCTGGTCAGTATTATGTTTTTATACCCTGCGCTGCACTCTTATCTTTACATGTATGTAATCTGAAACTTTGTTGTCTGGCAATTAAAGTTTTTTTTTTTTTTTTTTTAAAAATATGATTAAATCCTGTAAAACTCTTTCAATAAAAAGCATTTGATTTTAAAAGAATATATAACTTGATTATTATTTCCCTTGATGTACGCTTTTATTATTTTGCCTAGACATCCCCTCCCGCTTAGATTGTAAGCTCCCAGGAGCAGAGCCCTCCTAACCCTCTTGTATTGAACTGTATTGTCTCCCTTTATAATCTCCAGCGCTGAGCCAACTGTTGGCGCTATAGAAAACCTGTATAATAATAATAGATGTGCTTTAAAAATGTGGACATTATCAGCAGCTCCCAGCAGTACATCTGTGAGATAGAAGCGTTGAGGGGTCCCTGTTATCAGTTCCTGTCCTGGCAGCCTTTGTCCCACATTCTGGCTGAGCTATAAGTAGAAGCACTTGTCCTGCAGCTGTCTGGAGCTAAATCCTCTGCGTTCGGTGGATTGTGTTTGCTACGTGCAGGAAGAGCGATCCCACAATGAGTGTATTTTCCCTACATCCTGTGATCTTACTATCACCCCAAACTATACCATCAATTTAATAAGCAAAATGTCCAATGACCCCCCCCACCTATATAATGTAACAATAGGGGAAGGTGCACAGGGAGGGCTTGGGGGGGTTACTAAAAGTGGAGCACTTAGAATATGGTGCAGCTCTGCATGGCAGCCAATCAGCTTCTAACTCGGCAATAAAACCTGGAAGCGGATTGGTTTCTGTGCAAAGTTGCATCAGATTATGCACCCTGCAGTTTTAGTAACTATCCCCCAAGAATTCATCCAATAAGAAACTGAAAACTATTTACAGTGACCTATCAGATATTGGCTCTCATTTCATGTGAATGAATGAAGATTCCGCTGATGTGCCCCCCCCCCCCTTACTTTTATTCAGCCCCATTCTATACAATGCATACATTTAGTGGTCAAAAAAATAGAAACTCCATTGGTGGTCATGCCAAGGCAATTTAAATATGTAGCAATACATTAATGCGGAACTCCACCTAAAAGGGGAAATTCTGCTGGTCTGCCTCCTCTCCCCCTCCACTGCCACATTTGGCAATTTTTGGAGGAGAGCGGGTACCTGGTTTTGACAGGTACCCGTACCCACTTCCAGGTCAATTCGCCACAGTGATCTCAGCCGGACGTTTGCCCCCCATACACACACTTCAAAGGTCCCAGAAGACTGCAGACCATTCACAAAGTGCAAGACGCTTCGTGCATGCACAGTAGGGAACCGACAATTTCCCCTACCGAAGATGCCGGAGCCAGCACCCGACAGTCGATTGAAAACACGGCACAGGATGAGACCCGTGACATCTCTGGACCCCTAGACAGATAAGTGCCCTTATATTAAAAGTCAGCAGCCACATTATTTGTAGCTCCTGACTTTTAATTCAAATATAAAAATGCCTTGATGGGTGGGCGACAATCTGCAGTGGTGGGCACATTATGACAGACTTACCTATGAAAATGATCCCTCCAGTGGCGCCCTGTCACCACTGACAGGGAATCCAGTCTTCTTCTTCCGGGTTCGCTGGCTGCAGCCGCTTGCTTGGTCGAGCCGCGCTGACGTCCCTGTTTATAGCACAGGGCAGTGAAGTCACCGGCAGCTACACAGGTATATACCGGTATCTCCTAAATGCTGCATAGTTACATAGTTAGTCTGGCTGAAAAAAGACAAAAGTCCATCCAGTTCAACCATAGAAAAAAAAAAAAATAAATAAAAGTTATAATCCTCCACCCACAGTTAATCCAGAGGAAGGCAAAAAAACCCAGCAAAGCACGATCCAATTTGCTCCTGCAGGGGAAAGATTCCTTCCTGATCCCCCGAGAGGCAATCGGATATTCCCTGGATCACCTTTCCCTATAAATGTTATATCCAGTTATATTCTGTGTATCCAAGAAAGAATCCAGGACTTTCCGACAGCAATCCACTGAGCTGGCCACACCCAACTCTGGAGGGAGTCTATTCCACATTCTCACCGCTCTTACTGTGAAGAAACCTTTCCGTGTTTGGAGATGGCATTTATTTTCCTCCAGATGTAAAGAGCGCCCCCTTGTCCTCTGTGATGACCTCAGGGGGAATAACTACACCGAGTTCACTATATGAACCACTGATGTATTATACATGGAGATCATATCCCCCCCCTTATGTATTATACATGGAGATCATATCCCCCCCTTATGTATTATACATGGAGATCATATCCCCCCCTTATGTATTATACATGGAGATCATATCCCCCCCTTATGTATTATACATGGAGATCATATCCCCCCTTATGTATTATACATGGAGATCATATCCCCCTTATGTATTATACATGGAGATCATATCCCCCCCTTATGTATTATACATGGAGATCATATCCCCCCCTTATGTATTATACATGGAGATCATATCCCCCCTTATGTATTATACATGGAGATCATATCCCCCCTTATGTATTATACATGGAGATCATATCCCCCCTTATGTATTATACATGGAGATCGTATCCCCCCTTATGTATTATACATGGAGATCATATCCCCCCTTATGTATTATACATTGTAATCATATCCCCCTTATGTATTATACATGGAGATCATATCCCCCCCTTATGTATTATACATGGAGATCATATCCCCCCTTATGTATTATACATGGAGATCATATCCCCCTTATGTATTATACATGGAGATCATATCCCCCCCTTATGTATTATACATGGAGATCATATCCCCCCCTTATGTATTATACATGGAGATCATATCCCCCCTTATGTATTATACATGGAGATCAGATCCCCCCTTATGTATTATACATGGAGATCGTATCCCCCTTATGTATTATACATGGAGATCATATCCCCCTTATGTATTATACATGGAGATCGTATCCCCCCTTATGTATTATACATGGAGATCGTATCCCCCCTTATGTATTATACATGGAGATCGTATCCCCCCTTATGTATTATACATGGAGATCATATCCCCCCTTATGTATTATACATGGAGATCATATCCCCCCCTTATGTATTATACATGGAGATCATATCCCCCTTATGTATTATACATGGAGATCATATCCCCCCTTATGTATTATACATGGTGATCATATCCCCCCTTATGTATTATACATGGAGATCATATTCCCCCTTATATATTATACATGGAGATCATATCCCCCTTATGTATTATACATGGAGATCATATCCCCCCCTTATGTATTATACATGGAGATCATATCCCCCCCTTATGTATTATACATGGATATCATATCCCCCCTTATGTATTATACATGGATATCATATCCCCCCTTAATCTCCTCTTCTCAGTAGAGAATACATTCAGTTCCTCTAATCTCTCCTCATAGCTGATCTTCTCCATGCCTCGTATCAGTTTAGTTGCCCTTCTCTGAACTTTCTCCAGTTCCCCAATGTTCTTTTTGTGAATTGGAGCCCAAAACTGAACTGCATATTCCAGATGAGGTGTTACTGATTTGTACCGGGGGAGGGGGGGTGATATCTCTCTCCCTGGAGTCTATATCGCTTATAATACAAGAGAGGATTTTGCTCGCTTTAGAACCCGCAGCTTAGCATTGCTGCCATTATTAAGCTTGTGATCTACTAGAACCCCCAGATCCTTCACCATTGACCCCCCCAAGATCCTTCTCCACCACTGACCCCCCCAGATCCTTCTCAACCATTGACCCCCCCAGTTGTACCCCCCTAGTATGTATGATGCATATTCTTAAACCCCAAGTGCAGAACCTTACATTTATCACCATTAGCCCTCATTGGCCCCATAGTCCCCCAATTACACAGAGCATTGAGGTCGGCTTGTAAGTTGGAGACATCCTGTAAGGACGTTATTCCCCGGCACAGCTTGGTGTCATCTGCAAAGACTGAAATGGGATTTATAGTCTCAGACCCGATATCGTTTATAAATATATTAAAAAGTAAGGGTCCCAACACTGACCCTTGGGGTATCCCACTAATAACACAACCTTGGGGTCCCCCACAAATAACACTGATCCTTGGGGTACACCACTGACACCCCTAGACCATTCAGATTATGAATCATTAACCACTACTCTCTGAATACGATCGTTTAGCCAGTTTTCTATCCATTTACATACAGATTTTTTCAGCCTGTAGAGGAAATTGTGGATTCTTGCCCAGGACCCTATCCCGGTAACATATCAGAAGCCTGTAGCAGTCAGAAATCATCTGCCTACTTCTTCTGAGTCAACAAACAAAGCATAAAGGCCGGAGTGCCCATATGACAGCCAGGCAACTAGCATTTTATAAAGCAGGCGTCAGAAATCACAGTCTTCAAGTTTCCTTCAACTGTCCAGTAGTCAGGTAGAGAATTCCCTACATCTAGGTCTGCACTGTAAACAAAGCCACCTACCCACAGAGAGGACAGGTAAGTCGGTTGTCCGTGGTCCGGCCCCCGCAGACAGCTGGCGCAGAAGCTGTGATAACAGTCCAGCAGACACGGGTGCTCATACTGCTCATGGCACAGGTAACACGTCAGGGGGTGGCAGCTGGCCTTGTCCAGGTCCTGCAGAGTTTCCAGGGGTGAGAATATCCCTCCAGACATCTCTGAGAAGACAATACAGAAGAATGGAGATCATCTATAGATATGTGACAACGTTTTCACACAACACCATTCTGACTCCCTCAAGCACTTTGGGGCCCGAGGACAGAGCCTTGAGGGACCCTAACAGATTGGGAGAGTGAGGGGGAGGTGGTAGCATTATAGGTAATGCTGAAGGAGCGTTGTGATAGGTAGGACGAGAGCCAGGAGAGAGGGGAGTCTCTGAGGCTGAGGGAGTGTAGTTTTTTGAGGAGGAGGGGGTGGTGGACTGTGTCGAACGCCGCGGAGAGGACGAGGAGTAGGAGCACTGAGTAGCGGCTATTAGCTTTGACCAAGGACCATTTTTGTAGGAAGGGATCTTCCACCTGGTGGGGGAATACCTTCATTTTCCTCCATGCTTTCTCTGGTCTTGGGATTTCCCTGAGGATCTGATAGTGAGGACTTTTTTTTTTCTTTTCTACCTTTTTATAGGCCTAGGAACAATTTTGTAGGAAGGGATCTTCCGCCTGGTGGGGGACTCCCTCCCCTTTTTTTCTATACTTTCTCTGGCCTCAGGATCTCCCCCACGGATCTGCCTTCTATTCTCGCTATGGCTCTATTTTCTTTTTCTCCTCTTCCCTGCTTTTCCTACTATAGTAGGTAGTAGTAGTAGTCTTTTCTATTTTATTTTGCTTTTTTTTTTCTTTCCTCTCTTCTCAATGGGGGGTATCCAACACTATGATTACAGCGGTTGGACTGGGGCCTAGTGCCTGCCGTCCTGATATGTGTCCGTTTACAACCACAGACATCTGATCCGCCAAAAAGGGACGGATGAGGATCCAATTCTTCTTCAGTCTGTCGGATCGGGTCAGATGGAAATGGACAGGCGGTTCATTTTCATCCGACTGCCCATTGAGGAGAGCGAACTGCTCTGTGTCTGCTCTGCAGCAGCGGAGCGGATACGGACCTGCCATCCGCTTGCTCAGCAGGGATCAGTGGAGAGATCCCCCGCTGAGCAAGCGGATCCGCTAAATGGGGTGAAAGGTCCCTCAAAGCATAGCAGCCAGTTAAGGGTGATGCAGTGCAAGCAGCAGACAGGAGGAGAAAGCAGAGTGACAGGGAGACAAACTAATTACTGTGCTGCTTCTTCTTTCACTGTACAGTTTTGGGGAGGGGACGTGTGAGGCTAGTCTCACATCTCTGCAGCCTGGGAATGTGTGCAAAACTGTGTGCATTCCTTACCCGCAGAGAAATGTGCTGCACTTTAGCAGATACACAGGGCTGTCATTCATTCTTAATTGCACCCCCACACATTGGGACCTGCGGCCTGTTTTTATGCACCCAAAACTGCATGGTGCCGCAGCACCAAGGGGTTCAGTATAGTGCGATGTTTAAAAAAAAGGGACTGGGACTTCTTTCCTCGCATATGTTCACAGGTAGGGCAGCCCTTTGAAATTAATGGGCTGCTCTACCCATGACATGCACATGCAAACGCACATACACAACGTGAACCAGACCTAAGTGAAATTACAGCAGAGAATGATCAGGTCCTTTCTACTAGGCAGTCCTGTGTTGTGGGGCAGAGCTGTGTAAATCTCAGAACTGGATGGACAGAAATGCAATTACTTTTGCAGGTAAAGCAATTCCGTTATACAGTGCGTATTTGCTCCCCTGCTGATGCTGAATGTTCGCCCCTCACACAGAAATGATCGGTCTAACAATGGAATGTTCGGTGTAACACTGAGAGACAGAATAGCAACAAAAACATTCAGCAGAAATGCGTCTAACAAATGATGACGGATCTGCATGTTCATGAGGGAAAGAAGGATTTGATCCCCTATCATTCAGCAGGATTTCTGGCTCCCAGGTGTCTCTCATACAGGTAACAAGCTGAGATTAGAAGCAGTCTTTTAAAGGGAGTGCTGCTAATCTCATTGTGTTACCTGTATAAAAGACACCTGTCCACAGGAGCCATCAAACCATCAGATTCCAAACTCTCCACCATGGCAAAGATCAAAGAGCTGTCCAAGGATGTCAGGGACAAGATGGTAGACCTACACAAGGCTGGACTGGGCTACCAAACTATGGCCAAGCAGCTTGGTGAGAAGGTGACAACAGTTGGTGCAATCATTCACAAATGGAAGAAACACAAAACAAGTGTCAGTCTCCCTAGGTCTGGTGCACCATGCAAGATCTCACCTCGTGGAGTGTCAATGATCATGAGAACAGTGAGGAATCATCCCAGAACTACACGTGAGGATCTTGTCAATGATCTCCAGGCAGCTGGGACCACAGTCACCAAGAAAACAATTGGTAACACACTACGCCGACAAGGACTGAAATCCTGCAGTGCCCGCAAGGTCCCTCTGCTCAAGAAAGCACATGTCCAGGCCCGTCTGAAGTCTGCCACTGAACATCTGAATGATGCAGAGGAGGACTGGTGGGAAGTGTTGTGGTCAGAGGAGACCAAAATCCAGCTCTTTGGCATCAACTCAACTCGCCGTGTTTGGAGGAGGAGGAATGCTGCCTATGACCCCAAGAACACCATCCCAACTGTAAAACATGGTGGTGGAAACATTCTGCTTTGGGGGTGTTTTTTCTGCTAAGGGGACAGGACAACTGCACCGCATCAAAAGGACGATGGACGGGGCAATGTACCCTCAAATCTTAGGTGAGAACCTTCTTCCCTCAGCCAGGGCATTGAAAATGGGTCGTGGATGGGTGTTCCAGCATGACAATGACCCAAAACACACGGCCAAGGCAACAAAGGAGCGGCTCAAGGAGAAGCACATTAAGGCCCTGGAGTGGCCTAGCCAGTCTCCAGACCTTAATCCGATTGAAAATCTGTGGAGGGAGCTGAAAGTTCGAGATGTCAAACGTAACCCACCAAACCTTAATGACTTGGAGAGGATCTGCCAAGAGGAGTGGGCCAAAATCCCTCCTGAGATGTGTGCAAACCTGGGGGCCAACTCCAGGAAACGTCTTACCTCTGTGATTGCCAACAAGGGATTGGCCACCAAGTACTAAGTCATGTTTTGTGAAGGGGATCAAATACTTATTTCCCGCATGAACATGCAATGTTGAGATTGAGAAATGAGATTAGCAGCACTCCCTTTAAGAGACTGCTTCCAATCTCAGCTTGGTACCTGTATGAAAGACACCTGGTAGTCAGAAATCCTGCTGAATAATAGGGGATCAAATACTTATTTCCCCCATGAACATGCAGATCAGTCATCATTTGTTAGACGCATTTCTGCTGAATGTTTTGTTGCTATTCTGTCTCTCAGTGTTACAATACACCGAACATTCGATTTTTAGACTGATCATTTCTTTGTGAGGGGCAACATTCAAAATCGGCAGGGGATCCACTACTTATTTCCTTCAATGTACGTCAACTGTTCCTATGCTACACTTTGGGGTGGGTATTGACAGGGCAGGGACAAAGGGTGGGCGGAAGGGACAGCTGCCCTGGGCCCAATGGTTTACTGTAGGGATGGGGGATCTTTCCTTCTGATACAAGGCTGACAGGAGTAGTGACAGTGGCATCACTCCTGTCAGCCAGTGATCGGAGCGAAGAGCATAGGCCAGGGAGGAGATGCAGGGTGTGTTCTTTCTCCCCCCCCCCAAACATCTTGTAAAATAACAGGCATTATGCATGGTGTTCCCATGTAAGTCTACTAGAGGCAGAAATGGGTGACCATGTATCAAAGGAGCTTCGGTACATTTTGTGAGGGTTGAGAAGAAAGCATCAGGGGGTATAATCCTGCCATGACTGCGGCATGTGTACATCCCCAGTTGTTGGGAAGGGAGAGGTTGGCAAAAGCATGACCTCGACTGTGTCAACTGTGGGATTTTACTGCCCCCTCAATCGCTAGTGTGAATAAGCCCTGTTCTGCAACAATATAAAGATACAAAAAGAATGCAAGCAAGAGAAAGAAGAAAAGTTTACCACTTTGGTCTTTGATGAGTAGTGGCTGTGCCCCCTCGCTCTGGTCTTTGATGAGTAGTGGCTGTGGCCCCTCGCTCTGGCTCTTTGATGAGTAGTGGCTGTGCCCCCTCGTTCTGGCTCTTTGATGAGTAGTATAGCTGTGCCCCCTCGCTCTGGTCTTTGATGAGTAGTGGCTGTGCCCCCTCGCTCTGGTCTTTGATGAGTAGTGGCTGTGGCCCCTCGCTCTGGCTCTTTGATGAGTAGTGGCTGTGCCCCCTCGTTCTGGCTCTTTGATGAGTAGTATAGCTGTGCCCCCTCGCTCTGGTCTTTGATGAGTAGTGGCTGTGCCCCCTCGCACTGGTCTTTGATGAGTAGTGGCTGTGCCCCCTCGCTCTGGGTCTTTGATGAGTAGTGGCTGTGCCCCCTCGCTCTGGCTCTTTGATGAGTAGTGGGTGTGCCCCCTCGCTCTGGTCTTTGATGAGTAGTGGCTGTGCCCCCTCGCTCTGGCTCTTTGATGAGTAGTGGCTGTGCCCCCTCGCTCTGGCTCTTTGAAGAGTAGTATAGCTGTGCCCCCTCGCTCTGGTCTTTGATGAGTAGTAGCTGTGCCCCCTCGCTCTGGTCTTTTGATGAGTAGTGGCTGTGCCCCCTCGCTCTGGCTCTTTGAAGAGTAGTATAGCTGTGCCCCCTCGCTCTGGTTAATGATGAGTAGAGGCTGTGCCCCCTCGCTCTGGTCTTTGATAAGTAGTGGGTGGTCCCCCTCGCTCTGGTCTTTGATGAGTAGTAGCTGTGCCCCCTCGCTCTGGTCTTTGATGAGTAGTAGCTGTGCCCCCTCACTCTGGTCTTTGATGAGTAGTGGCTGTGGCCCCTCGCTCTGGCTCTTTGATGAGTAGTGGCTGTGGCCCCTCGCTCTGGCTCTTTGATGAGTAGTGGCTGTGGCCCCTCGCTCTGGCTCTTTGATGAGTAGTGGCTGTGCCCCCTCGCTCTGGCTCTTTGATGAGTAGTGGCTGTGGCCCCTCGCTCTGGTCTTTGATGAGTAGTGGCTGTGCCCCCTCGCTCTGGTCTTTGATGAGTAGTGGCTGTGCCCCCTCGCTCTGGCTCTTTGATGAGTAGTGGCTGTGGCCCCTCGCTCTGGCTCTTTGATGAGTAGTGGCTGTGGCCCCTCGCTCTGGTCTTTGATGAGTAGTGGCTGTGCCCCCTCGCTCTGGCAGGCACAGCTTAGTCTCCTCGTGTAGAGGAATGACAGAAATGTGTTGTCTTCCCCAGGGCAGGATACATGGCAGTGACGTGCAGACAGTATCTAGAGTGACAACACTCCACCAGGACCAAATATCTTCCACTGACAAGCTCAGTGTCAGTGCAGAGTGAGATCTCTGAAATAGCCACCGCTTAAAGCAGAACTCCGGATACTAAAATGTTTATTGAAATATATTCCTTAATAGCCACAAAGGATATAAATCCACTTTGTTGCACCACGTGCCTCTGCAACTCAAAAAGTATCTTGGAAAGTAGCAATAACAGGCTGTGCAGACAGCAGAGCTGTGGGAGGGGCCCCACAGGCTCCACCCACTACAGGTTGCCTGCAGAAAAACTACAGGAGGGGGCCGAGAGAAGGAACAGTCACCCTGCACAAGGAGGAGAGCAGAGCAGTGGGAGGGGCCCAGCAGGCTCCACCCACTACAGGTTGCCTGCAGAAAAACTACAGGGGGGGCGGAGACAAGACCAGTCACCCAGCACAAGTAGAAAGCAGAGCTGTGGGAGGGGCCCAGCAGGCCCCACCCACTACAGGTTGCCTGCAGAAAACTACAGGGGGGGGGGGGGGGGGTGCGGAGACAAGACCAGTACACCTGCACAAGGAAAGAGCAGAGCTGTGGGAGGGGCCCAGCAGGCCCCACCCACTACAGGTTGCCTGCAGAAAACTACAGGGGGGCGCAGACAAGACCAGTCCACCTGCACAAGGAGAGAGAGCAGCAGTGAGCGGTCTTTATTACAGGAAGTCTCACCCTGGATTGGTGGGGGGATTTACTAAAACTGGAGCACACAAAATCTGGTGCAGCCGTGCATAGTAACCAATCAGCTTCAAACTTCAGCTTGTTCAATGAAGCTTTGCCAATAAAACCTGGAAGCTGATTGGTTTCTATGCACAGCTGCACCAGATTCTGTGTGCACCAGTTTTAGTTTATCTTCCCCAGACTGTCGGGACAGTGTGGTCACCTGCTGACTTGTCACCTTCCACAGGCAGCTTAAAGTGTTACTAAACCCAGACCCCGCATTCACTATATCCGCTCTCCCCGGACCCCGCATTCACTATATCCGCTCTCCCCGGACCCCGCATTCACTATATCCGCTCTCCCCGGACCCCGCATTCACTATATCCGCTCTCCCCGGACCCCGCATTCTCTATATCCGCTCTCCCCGGACCCCGCATTCACTATATTCGCTCTCCCCGGACCCCGCATTCACTATATCCGCTCTCCCCGGACCCCGCATTCACTATATCCGCTCTCCCCGGACCCCCCCCCCATTCACTATATCCGCTCTCCCCGGACCCCGCATTCACTATATCCCCTCTCCCCGGACCCCGCATTCACTATATCCGCTCTCCCTGGACCCCGCATTCCCTATATCCGCTCTCCCCAGACCCCGCATTCCCTATATCCGCTCCCCCTGGACCCCGCATTCACCATATCCGCTCTCCCCGGACCCCGCATTCACTATATCCGCTCTCCCCGGACCCCGCATTCACTATATCCGCTCTCCCCGGACCCCTCATTCACTATATCCGCTCTCCCCGGACCCCGCATTCCCTATATCCGCTCTCCCCAGACCCCGCATTCCCTATATCCGCTCTCCCCAGACCCCGCATTCACTGTATCCGCTCTCCCCGGACCCCACATTCACTATATCCGCTCCCCCCGGACCCCGCATTCACTATATCCGCTCTCCCCGGACCCCGCGTTCCCTATATCCGCTCTCCCCGGACCCCGCATTCACTATATCCGCTCTCCCCGGACCCCGCATTCACTATATCCACTCCCCCCGGACCCCGCGTTCACTATATCCGCTCTCCCCGGACCCCGCGTTCCCTATATCCGCTCTGCTCGGACCCCACATTCACTATATCCGCTCTCCCCGGACCCCGCATTCACTATATCCGCTCTCCCCGGACCCCGCATTCACTATATCCGCTCCCCCCGGACCCCGCATTCACTATATCCGCTCTCCCTGGACCCCACATTCACTATATCCGCTCCCCCCGGACCCCGCATTCACCATATCCGCTCTCCCTGGACCCGGCATTCACTATATCCGCTCTCCCCGGACCCCGCATTCACTATACCCGCTCTCCCCGAACCCCGCATTCACTATATCCGCTCCCCCCGGACCCCGCATTCACTATATCCGCTCCCCCCGGACCCCGCATTCACTATATCCGCTCTCCCCGGACCCCGCATTCACTATATCCGCTCTCCCCGGACCCCGCATTCACTATATCCGCACTCCCCAGTCCCCGCATTCACTATATCCGCTCTCCCCGGACCCCGCATTCACTATATCCGCTCTCCCCAGACCCCGCATTCACTATATCCGCTCTCCCGGACCCCGCATTCACTATATCCGCTCTGGCGACAAACTATGTAAATTTTACTATCCATAGGCGACATTTTAAAAACCTTTACAGGTGACCACTTTAGATTTACAGAGGAGGTCTGAGGCTAGAATTACTGCCCATGATCTGATGTTCGTAGCAATACCTCATGTGTGCGCCGACTGCTGCTTGTGTGCCTGCGGGACCAACGCGTACATTAGTCTTTGCATGTGAACACGGGGGGATGGAGGAACTTTAATTTTTAAATTTTTTTTTACTTTTATTGCTGTCACATCTGGTCCCAGAACCCCTTCCCTAGACATTTAGCCTACTATGGGCGCTATATCGATGATGTCCTGATTATCTGGGATGGCCCCCTTGAGACAGTCATGGATTTTGTATTTTAATGTAACACCAAGATCTATGGCATTACATTTGCACATGTTGTTGATGACAAATCCCTCATATTCTTAGATGTGGTGTTATCTTGGGAGGAGGGAGGAAAATATTATTCAAAACCCATTTTAGAGAAACCGCCGGAAACTCATACCTACATCACAATAGTTGCCATGATCCAAAGTGGAAGGCAAACATCCCATACAGCCAGTTCCAACGACTTCGTCGTAATTTATTATTTATTTCAGGTACTTATATAGCGCCATCAATGTACACAGCGCTTCACATATATATTGTACATTCACATCAGTCCCGCCCTCAAGGGGCGTACAATCTAATGTCCCTAACTCACATTCATACATACACATACTAGGAACCAATTTAGACAGGAGCCAATTCACCTACCAGCATGTCTTTGGAGTGTGGGAGGAAATCGGAGTATTCAGAGGAAACCCATGCAGGCACAGGGAGAACGTGCAAACTCCAGGCAGGTGGTTGAGATTCCAACCAATGACCCTAGTACTGCCAGGCGGAAGTGCTAACCACAGGGTGGATTTGATGTAAATCACTAGTCAGTAAGGCTTGATGTAAATCCTCGTTTTCTACATAAAGACTAATTCTTCTGGTATAACTTTAATATACAAGTAGATGAAGATTTTTAGAATAACTTTTCATATTAGTTTTTTTATCCCCAGTTTAATAGGTTAATCATTCATATTTGGACAACTTTTCTGTTGTACTTAGGAAGGAGAAAAATAATCATCACATTAATAATAACAATTTAAATAGATTTATTCAACTGAAACAATAACATTCCAGCAGATGATATTCGCTTAAACATCCATGTTTGGTAACTAATTTGGCTAAACAAAATATATATATTTTAAGAAACGTAGACTGTCAGCCCCTCCCTCCTCAGACTGTCAGCCCCTCCCTCCTCGCACTGTCGGCCCCTCCCTCCTCGCACTGTCGGCCCCTCCCTCCTCGCACTGTCGGCCCCTCCCTCCTCGCACTGTCGGCCCCTCCCTCCTCGCACTGTCGGCCCCTTCCTCCTCGCACTGTCGGCCCCTCCCTCCTCACACTGTCGGCCCCTCCCTCCTCGCACTGTCGGCCCCTTCCTCCTCACACTTAGATTCACTTTCTTCTTGTGCAGATCTATTCCACTCCAAACAATCAGAAAAATATTGTTTCTCTTCTATTCACGGAACTTCTTGCACCTTGGCAGTGAAGGGGCTGATTCTGTATTCATAGGTGTGTAGAAGTTAGGATGAAGGTCTTTTTCTTAGCTCTGTTCATGTTATAACATTTTTGCTGTGAAGAGTCATGTGATCTCCGCTGAGTCCCAGTCAGTTTTATAACTGCAAAAGTAAACCAACATCTGTGATAATATCTTGTAGGCAGAGAAACTGCCCAATAATCCTACAGACACCTCTAGAGAGCAACATTGTGAATGGATTCATGGGATTTATGTACCAAAACAATGAAACATATACAGCCTTATTCTACATAACTAAAAAACTAATCTTTATTTCATGACGGAAAACCCTTTGGATGGTAATATATTTTCCTCAAAAAGCATTTTATTTAAAAAAAAATCCGATTTAAATAAAAAAAAATCTGATTTTTTTTATTTTTTTAAAAAAATCATTGATTTGTATCCACCCTGGCTAACCATGTAATTGATCCAATACTGCAGATTATGTAGTACAGTCAGAGAGAGGGCTCTTTCAGATGAATGCTCCGATCGGGGTCCACCTGCCCGATTTTTAGGCAGGCCCGATCGGAACCTCTAAGGAGTGGCAGCTGTAAACCGACATGTACCTGTTTACACCTGCCGACATCCAATCCGATCCGACCCACAAAAAAGGGACGGATGGGGATTCAATTCCCCTTCCGTCCGTCGGATTGGGTCAAATTGAAACGGACAGGTGGTCCGTTTTCATCCGAATGCCCATTGAGAAGAGCGAGCAGCTCTGTGTCCGGCAGCAGCAGCAGAGAAGACACAGACCTGTCATCTGTAGTCAGCGGGGATCAGTGGAGAGATCCTAGGAGGGATGGAAAGGTTTCTCAGATCAAACAGGTTATTAGCTGCGGAACATAGTTTGTGGTGTATGGCCTCAGGTGTCCTTGTGGTCTTTACTATGTTGGGAGGACACTGCGCACCATTTGGAGGTTTGGAGAGCATGGGCGGTTTATCGAACATAAAGTCGACAAACACAAGTGTCTCCCGCCATTTTGGTACCCCACACGGAGGAAGCGCTCAGGGGCTAGAATTTATTGGTATAGAGGCCATCCCTATGACACTCCCTGAGGGAGAAAGATTCTCCAGACTTTTTCAGCGGGAGACTTTCTGGATTTTTACTTTAATACGATGTCCCCAGAAGAGTTAAATGAGGAATTGGAAATAAATACGCTCATCGAAAAAATCTTCTCAATATTAATTATTAATTTATATATTCCTTTTAATAGTTATTAGTTATACAATTGTGTGATTGGAGTTGTCAGCCATCACCTCAAGACACACAATAAGATGATAAGGATTCTACAACTGCTAGTCGGTATTGAATATACATTTTCAGTTGATTTTAGTTTAATATTTTATATATATATATATATATATATATATATATATATATATATATATATTATTTTTTAAATATTTTATTAATTTAAAAATATTAACATATTTCATACATTAATGATCTATCATATCATCTAAGTGTAAAATACAAAATCCCAGTTTTTACTTTTCTCACACTCAAAACCACCCCCTCCCCCCAATCCCCCCCAAACCCCCCCCCCCCCCCCCCCTCCCTCCCCCCCATTATTTTCTCTTAGCTCCATGTTCTTCACAGCTCATAGGAATCCTCAGGCTTTCCACCTCCCTTTTTTATCCAATTTCTACCTTTAATGATCCATATCCTTCAATTCAACATATTTATTTGCTCTCCTGAACTCTTCCCATTTTTCCCACATTTTACGGAACCTCTCCATTTTTATCTTCATCCATATGATAAAGTTCCTTATATATATATATATATATATATATAAATAAATTTTATACACTTGCGTTGCAATCCAATATATAATATATTTTGTAACACTTTTCCTTTGAGCTATAGGCACATGTTTCTAAGGAAAATTCTTTTTCCGATCATGGCTTTTATTACTACCAATACACGGACAGATTTGAAGCATCAGCTGCTCCCACCCTCAGGGTGTCTCTAGAGTCGTCTCCTTTAGGATCTATTTTGGGGGCTGGAAGTACACTGTAGACTCTGTTTTGGAATCCTCTGAGTCGCCCCTTTAAGAATTGTATTGGAAGTGGATTACATCTATATAAGACTCGAGATGCCACGGGGGGGGGGGTGACTTGACAAAGGAGGCCACGCCCCTGAAACGCAGGTTCTCCTTCTCCTCTCCTAAGCATTGGAAGCAGCAGACACGGCACATGCGGGGTAGCGGCTGCACACCCCAAACTGAGATCTGTCATTGCCCTGCCTCACCCTCTGCTTTACTGCTGACCCCTGGAGAAGAGCCAAGGAGAACTGACCACAGATTGATATGCCTATGAATCATTGTTTCATGTGAGTGCGATTGTTTTTAAGTTTTTTATAACATATAAAAGCGGAGTTACACTGACTAGGGCGACTGTGCGCTCTCTGCTGATTATCTTCTGCCACCCAGTGGAGTGCCTGGAGAGCTGCAAAGCCAACTTTGTATCTATAGTACTGCGTCATTGAGCCCACGAGAGGTTCGTACATTGAGCCCACGAGAGGTTCGTACATTGAGCCCACGAGAGGTTCGTACATTGAGCCCGGGTTCACACTTCTGCAGTGCGGCATATCGCATGTGATTCGCACAGGAACCGCTCCACATTCCTGTGCAAATCACATGCAAATTCTGTGTGGTGCGATTTGAATCATACATACAGTCGTACAGTCGCACCACATCCGCACCAAAGAGGCGCAGGACCCCTTTTTTTGGTCCGCACTAGAATGGGATCACATGTGTATTCACACCCATGTGATCTGATTCCGCACATCGCTCCGTGTTTTGCAAACCGATTTCGAGGTGTTTATTTTATTTCAGGTACTTATATAGCGCTGTGAATTTACGCAGCGCTTTACATATATATTGTACATTCCCATCAGTCACTAACCCTCAAGGGGTGTACAATCTAAGGTGCCTAACTCCCATCATACATACACATACTAGCGACAATTTAGACAGGAGCCAATTCACCTCCCAGCATGTCTTTGGAGTGTAGAGGAAACCGGAGTACCCGGAGGAAACCCACGCAGGCACAGGGAGAACATGCAAACCGCAGGCAGGAGGTGCTGTGGCTGGGATTCGAACCAATGACCCGACTACTGCCAGGCAGAAGTGCTAACCATTTAGCCACTGTGCTGCCCATAGGTGTTGTTAACATACACTCTCGCAGCGGTTCGCATGAATGGGGTGCAATTGTGATGCTGTGCAGAATTCACACAGAAACAGTTGTGAATTCCGCACCAGTGTGAACCCGGGCTGAAGATCAGCGCATTAGTGACTTTATATTGCTGTCACAAGGAATGTAAACATCCCCTTTGACAGCAATGGACA